TAATTAACAAACTCTCTATTCCTACACTTAATCTTTGGATGAGATTTAGACGTCATATCTAGATCGTCATAAGGACAAACTGGAATGAGAACAGTCATTGTAGAAATAATTAATTGCAGACAATATTTATGCGATGTTGTATTGTAACGTCAATCCAAGATTTCGTCTCTGAACGAGAAATATTACGCGCATAATTTACTCGCATTGTGTTAACGATCAATCGAACAACACTAGCAACGCAGAAAAGAAAAAAAAGTTCATCGTAATTTGCAAGAGCCATCAGGCGGCGCGGCATAATTTCGAACGATCATGTAGGAGTGATCTCGCACGCGCGACGGCTGATGAAAAGCACGCGAGCACGATCGGTGGGGATCATCATCATCGTCCAATCTGCCATTCCCATCGAAGTATCTAAATATCTATCGAGCCATGATACACAATGTTTCGCGTCGTCGTTGAAACGTCGTTCATTGCAGACGGCTGCGTTTTAAATGAACGATATCTCCGCGAGCGGACGTCTCTTATCTGCTTCGATTATAACTGTAAATCGATAACCCGCGGTAAGAATGTGAGTGAATGCATTTGCGCAACGCAGTAACGGCTATGTGAATTTTACCAAAGTGTGCGAATTAGCGGCGGATCAATAATTAGAAGCAGCGATTATTACTACGTTTTCTACAGAGTTGCCAGCCTGTTGAAAATTTAAAATACTTTACCTTTGTCTATTATACGCAATGACTCGCGAAAATATTTGCACGCTCGTTTCCATCCTTACGTTTGTAAAACACTTTTCAAACTTGGAGTGAGTGAGTTTCGATGATAACGAGAAAATAAGAAACAAGAAAACTGTTTGCTTCAGAAAACTGTTTCCTTTTTCTCCGATTACTCAATAACGATTTCGTACAGTTGGAAACGAATCTAGATCGCGGACGGTTCATGCAAATTTTTCCCACGGTGATCCGCGGAGTATCGCGGGAGCAATTCAATTTTATCTTATCGAGGATCTAGACGTTTAAAAAAGATTTCGCAGGAATTTAATCGCAAATCGACGTTTTCTCAACGCAAAGTAAACAACGCGTCCATCGACGTGGCTTTCGCCGCGCGAATTTTTCAAGAGGTCGTTCAATTTGCATCCATGTTACCGTTTGAAAAAAAAAAACACATTTGATGTGCAGTTGCACGAAAACGAATAAATATACAAATCGTAAAGAAACGTCGGGTCTGGTTAGCGATGAATTTTATCGACTAACAGTCGAGATGCCAAGAAAATTGTATTAGAACGATCGACCGAAGCGTATCGCGGGACAGTTGTCAGAGAAGTATGTTAATTTCTCTGATTTATCAATGGTCGGCCGAGGAATAATCTTCGCGTATTAATCAGTCCGCAGAATATGTATGAAATATCATGGCACTCTTTCGGACCAGCCGACGCTATTTTTGTATTCGTACAAACGCGTGGAACGCGTGATTTACACCGACTGACGAACGTGCCAACGGTTCATACTCCGACACGTGTCTCTCTGAATTACACATTCTATTGTAAAATAATAACTAAATTGAACAACGAAGATCGAAGAAACGAGAGAGACAGAGGGATTGTATAATTTCAGACGATATTATTAATCGCTTACGATACGAAGAACAAAGCAAACAAAAAGAGAAAAGAAAGCAGCGCGTTATCGCGAGATATATACCGTGACCGACTGCGTTATATTCCTTTTCTTTCTGATTTTCCTCGAGTAAAAATCTCGAGAACTTTTTCATAATCGCGGCAAAGAGGAAGTTTCGTACTTTTCATCGGTCGCTTCTTCAAGTTCTCGCGGGGGAATGGAATTTAATTTGTGGTTCTCTTTTTTTTTTTTTTTTTTTCTTCCCGCCGTTCTCTTCAGAAGCGGCGCGGATGGAATGCGCGGCTCGATTAAGAAAAACCAAAATTAGACGGCGAAGCGGCAACTGTAATTATCGTGCTCTGAATTCTGATAAGATCGTACACGCTCGTTGTACATTCATTGTTGCATTCGACACGTGAGTACTGTTACACAGAATGTTTTTTCTCCTCTCTCTATTCTTTTTTTTTTCTGTTTTTAGCTAGCTTTCGAATCGAACGGAATGTAAAACACTCGCAAGTGGCGTTAATCACGTTTCGAGATGTTTAACAGCGAGTATCAGCAGCTAAATAAAGATTCATCGTGCTATAGAAAGGTACGATTTCGTGATCCAAAGTTAAGTGACGTAGAATACGATTTCGTCAACTTTTCGATGTTTCGGCAACTCATTCGAAGCGTTAGACGCAGCGAAAATATATTTCGCTGGTTCGAAACATCTATGTTTAAGTTCGGATAACTTTCGTACCAAACTTCGCGACGTTACGAATCGTGAAAATTCCAAGGTGTTACAGTTTTTACACTTTTCTTTACAGAAAACGAAATCTTTCTTCGACACAACGATGATTTCGTAACGATATAAAAAGATTTCATAGCATCACATATTTTGTATCAAACAAGAGAATAATAAATTTTCAAATTTTCAGCATTGAACAAGCCGCTTCAAAGACGAACTAGTCAACTCTATCTCTCATTGATTTATAAATTTTATTGCTATTAATTTTTTTAAAAGAAAGATGACCTACTTTTATAAATTGCGAATAGATGACATAATTGTGTACAGACGAAAATGCATCATAGGAAAATAAAAAGAAAATAATATATAAAACACGACTACAATATTCTGTCAAAGCGTTGCAGTGAATAATGTTAGGCTAACATTCTATTACATTTGTCTTTTCCGTAACGTCAGTTGCCAAATCGATTTACTTCGCGAATTTGTAGAGAGCGTAAAAATACATAAATATCTTGTTGTGTTTAAGATCACGTCTCAAGTTCAATTCATCGGGAATATTTATTTGTTCATAAATTTCAATGTACTTTTCATCTTATAGAGATCACCCGATTGTCTTCTAAGTAGCTTATGTATTTCATGTGACACGCATGATATAATATTTATAATTTATAATAATATTTATAATTTATAAAAGATGTTCATACGCGTTCGAATACCTTTACGAGCTTGTCTATATTACCACGTATAAAAATTGTAAATTTCTCGATATTCTAACAGGTTGAAACCTATCGATGACTCTTTTTCACAATCGTGGAAAGCAAGATCGATTTAAACTCTCGCGGCTCGTGCGATTTTGGCGGACAAGTTTCCCCAATTCGGCGACGACCGGCACGTATATACGATTTTCTCGACGTCAAATTTCTCAACTCGACAAATACTATTTCGCACAATACGTAACACGCGCCGTGTCAATGTAAAAAGGGCAATATGTGATACTACAGCTGGTACGGGCGCCTCGTATATATCGCAACAGATTTTCCTGATTTATTCGGCCGCGTAGAAAGTGAATTCAACGAGAGTGTAGGCTCTAACTTCGCACGCGTTTCTCAAGCCGCCGCAACAGTCGCCAGCGCGGTTTCCGAAACTCGAAACAGACGAAATTGCTTTCCAAGCGTATCGCTATAAAACCCAACACATTATCAATTGACTGCGTATCGCAAATGAGCTTTCCAGCTACCGAGTAACGACAGAGGCAACGAAAATGAATTTGTCATATTTTTCTCGTGTTGTAAGGATCACATCCTCAATGACAACTAAATATGCATCAAACGTAGTTCGAAGTTTTCTAATAGTCACAGCCTTCTACTAGGCTAGTGGCACTCTAACAGACGAATTTATTACTGAAAGTAAAAAATTTTTTCAGAAAAGACTGGCGAAGTTGTACATAGTGCGTGAAAACTTTGAGCCTAGTTAATTCATTCTTAACTCCTCCGAAACAATCCGAACGCCAAGGCAGAGGAAAAACAAAGAAAAGACTTTACGGATCGTCGTTTCGGAAAGATGATATTTCCGTAAGTGTCACCCTGTAGAGACCGTGCTCCGAAGATCTTCAATGTCACGTACGCGTCGATAACGTGAAAATCCGCGTGGGGACACGGAACGCGCGTGCGGCAGCCACGGGACGCGGCAACTTCGTGGAAAATTCGCGCAACTTCCCGGAAGGCAATGAGCCGCGACAATTCCAATGCGTAACGATCGTTAAACGTCCAACGGTATACAACGTGTGCGTGTATGTGCGTAGGGCGAGACGGATGGACGCAATAGAGAGGCAGGCAACTGAGAAACAACGACGGTGAACAACGATGGTGGGACAGAGACGGGTAAAGTTGCAGCGAGACGGATAGAGAGAGAGAGAGAAAGAGAGAGAGAGAGAAAAAAAGTGCGCGACAGAGACGGCGTGCGTGAAAGAGAGACAGGCAGGGAGACGGTCTCGAAGGTGCGAGAAAGAGAGTGCTACAGCACGCGACCTTCACGAAACGTCAAACGTCTATGCTGTTTAGCATGCAGGGCCGTACAACTGAAAGAGGTTCACCCACGTTCTCTCGCCCTGAATTATCTTCTCTCTCTTTCCCTCGCTTGCAAATTAAAACAGTCCACGTCGTTTACCGATACGAGATTCGCCCTCGCTACTTTTTCGACAATGTCGCCACGATCTTGTAGAGACGAACGTGACAAACGTAATCTCTCCGGGCAATACGAACGCGATACATGCGCGCGCGCGTGTGTACGTGCACGAGCTTTCGAAGCTAACGGTAGATGTTGATCGACTTTATCATTAGCGGACGACTGGTCTCGCGTGTCGGTTAAAATTGAACCGATCGTGGGCGAGCACGAGTCGCAGGAATTTCGAGCTGTCAATAAACAGTCGCGTCCGCGAGAAGCGGCTTGAAGACGCAGAGAAACTGGCGTGACAGCGTGACACGCGAGACTAACCGTTCGATTCTCGAGCGGTTCGGAGCAGAATCATCGTAACTACCCGACAACCGCGCGAAGATTTTCTTCTTTCTCCGATACTCAAACACAAATGTTTTTTCATTTACTTTTCTTTCTTTTTTTTTTTTTT